CCCTGATAATAAAACTCACCATGGAGGAGCAAATTATACAGAAGCGCTGGAAAACAGAGAAGCTGAAGCTGCTAGATGGGTTCCTTACAAAGGTCGATGGGGACCCGGGCACGCCTATCTCAACCGTTGACAAACCATCTGCAATGAGTAAAGGAAGTGTGGACCGTTGTCGAGATTCCGGAGCTACATCCCGACCATTTCGAAAGCGAATTGATTATATCTCGGACCGTAAACTTAAACACGCTAGACGAGCGAGAGGTCAAGAAGGATCTCTATCGGAGATGCAACGCAACCTCGAGAAGAAGCCTGATGTTAGCAATGAAGTTTTTCAGATAGACTTGCATAAAAGCGATTTCACTTCTGTAAGTATCTTTTGGTGGAAAATAATATGTTTAACCTCTTATTCACTTATTCCTTAGCTTAACATTCCTATACGAAGAGTAAATCCCCTGAGACTGTACTTTGCTATAGGAGCTTAAGGAATATACACGGGCGTCTTTCTAGACATAAGCAGAGCATTYAATAAAGTCTACAATGGTGTATCGTTMTGGTACAGAAGGGATAGAGCCAGCTATCATCGYATCGCTCTACTAAGCTGCAGACGGATTAAYGCATAATTGAACGAAACCAGATGTCGCCAACAAAAGGGTGTACTGTCGCCTCTCCTGTGGTTACTTGTAGCAAACAAACTTCTGAGAAAATTTGAAGGAACAGCCCCCAGACTGATAGCGTACGCAAACGACACAGCTGAACTAGTGAAGGGCGAGGTCGTAGACAAAATTAGTAGCCTGATGAATAACGTTCAGTCATAAACCTATGAGCAGTTTTTGACAGAAATACAGTACGGAAAACCGTTTGGAGCGAATGCAATGGCCTGCTACTCTCTGCATAGCGGGAGCACTAAGAATCCCTCCAATGGATACCCTTGAAAGGTTACTCAACCTACCGCCAATTGACATTGTAGTTGAAATCAGCTGCAATATTGGTGGCACTAGGTGAGTTTTCCACAAGAACCTACCGACTTAGCTCGATATCGGTGGATAAAATGGACCACGTACCTTTAAGTTTTATCTGGGAGAGAAGGTTTTAAGTCATCCTAAGAGGCCCAGGGKCACGCGAATCACCGAACTAACATATACACCTACGGATCAGAAATTACTAATGGAGTGGGCGCCGTGATCTATTCCGCGAAGCAATCTTTCAAGCTGCCGGAGTATTGCAGTATCTTCCAGGCAGAAGTCTTTGCGGTTAAGAATACTGCTGAGTTAGCTTACAACGCAGGAAATTACATAAAGAATATCAACACATACGTTGATTRGCAAGCAGTAATTAAAGCAATAATATTATATCGAATTGCATCAGAGAATGACCTTAAAAGCAGAGAGGCTGTAATTATAGTGTCTGTTGCAAAGCGGCTCTATATATACAGGTTCCAGGTCACGAGGGCCATCCGCTTGACTACCGAACTAGTTCAGGAACAACGCAAATCGTTGAAAGGTACACATTTTCCAATTTTCGAAAAGGCTGACAAACGGATAAAGGAGATGGAATCACTAAATGATATATATTCAAGATTTAAGTTCTGTAGAATGCAGTCCTGCGTGTAATTAGTAAGGACACAAACCAATACCAGTCAGCTGATTGCTGGATGATCCATATGATTGAAGTACAAAAGCCTTTAGCTTGGCTGCTACGGAGTTGCTGTACACACAAATATCTATTCGACTATGTCGGATATGTGGCGCTAGTGGAGGTGGTATTTCTGTGGCGAATTAAGTGGACATGCGATTAGATCCAATTAAGATTCCTCTTTTTAATGGTGATCTAGCGAGTTGGCTGTTCTTCAAAGATTTGTTCGAGGCACTAGTTCATAATCGTAAGGATCTGGATTCCAGTTATAAATTAAGCAAGTTACGCCAACATGTCAATGCAGACAGCGTACCCATGGTCGGTGGACTTTATACAGGCGGCTATGAAGACATGTGGCAGGAGATGAAACGGCAGTTTGATAATTCCCGCTTGTTAGTGGAATCCCATGTGCTGGGTATCCTGAATTTACCTAACCAACCCGCCGAATCCCAGAAGGGCTTGCTCGACTAGTTGACACTGTCCAAAATGTGATGCGAGCTTTAAGCGTTATGGATCTTCCGGTAAGACATTGAGACGCCCTCTTGGTGCCACTTCTGCTACCTAAATTGCCCACAATAACCAGGTATGAGTGGGGGATGAGCCTTCAGACGAACAACATACCAATGTATCAGGACTTTTTGACATTTGTTGAGAAGCGTGCCAACAATTTGCCTCAAGGGGCTACGAACGGTACAACAACTCTTCATCAAAGACCAACCCGTCGCGTTAAGGCTAACGTTGCAACGGTAAACTCATCTTCTACATTCAGTGAAAGGGGTTACGATTGTTTGCCAACTTTGCGCTAACGGACACCGAATACACAAGTGTCAACGTTTCGTTAATCTTTCCATACCGGAACGGTGGGATACAGTTAGGAGTCTCTCATTATGTTTCAACTCCCTTGGAAGTGATCATGGATCTCGTGATTGTACATCGCGGGATTGCTTAAGGTGCCAGCATCGTCATCATACGATGCTCTGCAAATTCAACGCTTCGAACAATTCGCCGACTATGGAGGAGGACACCAACAGTCACATAACCAATCGGAATATATCCATGGACACACTTTCAACACAGGTGCCACAGGTATACCCACGACATCATTGACATTTGAGGAAGGTCCGGTCATTTCTCATTAATGGAGACCGGACCATTGTACTGGCGACTGCGAAGGTCATCCTGACTGATCACAATGGAGGACAATTCGCGTGTCGTGCTCTTTGCGACCTGGGATCTCAGGTGAGTCTGATTACCGATGTCACTACAAAACGTATGTGTCTTCGTAGGCGTCCAGGGGAGATACGAATTGAAGGAATTTAAACTCGAAGCTTATGTCGTGCCGACAACAACCTCCGTAACGCCAGATACGCATATAGACGAAGAAGCTTGGAGCCATTTAAAAGATTTGTCGTTAGCCGACCCAATGTTTGCCGCTCCCAGTCCGGTGTATCAGCTACTTGGTGCTGACGTACTAACGGGTCTCTTTCAGGAGGGTTTCATTCAGGGTTCTCCAGAGCAACTTTGCGCTTTAAACACTCATCTTGGTTGGGTAGTATTTGGACCAGTKYCAAGTTCTGCTCACTCCACTKTACACACATCTCTTACTGCGAAATGCGTCAACGAACAACGACTAGACAYGCTAATTAGAAGCTTCTAGGAACTCGAAGGGCCCATACAATCATACGAAATACACGTGGATGACTGTGAGACGATCTTCAACGACACAGTTACCCGTAATTTAGACGGCAGGTACCAGGTGCAAATATTATTTCGACMAGATGCTCCTGCTCTTGGAGAATCTCATCAATCGGCAGTCCGCCAGTTTCTACAACTCGAGCGGCGGCTGATGAACGCATTTATGCGAGAATACATTGCTCTCGATCACATGGAAGTTAGCAAGCAAACTTTCACCCACAAAGAAAATGGTTACTTCATACCACATCATGCGGTAACCACAAAATTTCGCGTAGTTTTCAACGCATCAGCGAAGACATCGAATGGGACATGGTTAAACGATTGACATTTTTCTGGACCACAACTACATGCCAATATTGTCGACATCCTTCACCGTTCTCGCAAATGCGAGGTAGCCATCACTGCAGACATACAGAAGATGTTCCGACAAATACTGGTAGATAGACGACATCGCAAATGACAACAAATACTTTGGCGTGAATCGCCAAATGAACCCCTTCAAGTGTACGAATTGAAGACGGTAACCTATGGAATGGCTTGTAGTCCATTCAACGCGAATATTTTGAAACAAGGACAATTAATTTTCTGAAAGTGGAATTCCAATTCTACACACGTATTATCTGCGATAACCGATACAACAGTTTCTGCATCAGAACTGGAGTTGAAGAACTCAACCACAAAGGTATGGGGTCTTTACTGGGATAAAGTGAGCGACGAGCTCGTCTTCAAGATAGGCTTAGTTGACGACATGTCAATGCATAACAAGCGAAAAGTTTTGAGTAACGTGGCGAAATTATATGATCCAACTGGGGTATTGACATCCGTAGTCGTGGTGGCCAAACTATTCATACAGAACTTATGGAAAGCGTCTGCCATGGGATGCTGAGCTTCCTCCAGAGCTACTCAATTCATGGGTGATATTCCGCAACAGTTTATAAGGTATTACACGACTTTGTATTCCTCGTGGGCTACGTATAGGAGTGGGCTCTTTGGTGCATTTACATGGCTTTTGCGATGCTAGTCGTAAAGCGTATGCAGCAGTCATATATGTTCAAACGATCGATAAAGGTGGAACGTCACGCGCAGCTCTTGTCTCAGCGAAGACGAAGATAGCACCAATTAAGGACGTGACGATACCACGCTTCGAACTATGTGGTACTCATCTTCTAACCAAGGTGAGGGGCAACGTACCTCAAGCCTTGGGCCTACGGGACGCTCTATGTACTATTGTTTTATGCTGGATACGCAAACCACCATCCACGTTCAAACAATAGGTATCCAATCGGGTAGCTAACATTCAAGCCAATTCAGACATCAACGCTTGGAAGCACATTCGCTCGGAAACAAACCCAGCCGACTGTGCAAGCAGAGGTCTTTCTCCCGCCGTCTTAGCAGATCATCATCTTTGGTGGACCGGACCTACGGGCACTCATCATGGCGTGGGCGAAAGGCGTTTACCTTCTTTAACAGAAGACGAGGAGCACCTCTCCATTGCTGAATCTCGTGTGGTTTCCATATTCGTTTCCAGAGCTAATTACCAGTGGATTATGACATCCACGAAAGACAACAGGATACCTCTCATAGAGAAATTTAGCAAATTTACTCGTTTACTTAACACCACTGTTTGGTTAAGACGCTGGTTACCCTAATATCGTGGTTACAGGAACGATATAGTTTCTGTCGCAGACCAGGACTGGGCTTTACTTCTGCATGTTCGACAAGCACAAGGTCATCATTTCAAACAAGAAATTGGGGCTCTTGCATTGCATTCTAAAATTGTCGCTGATGCTCATACACGTTGCTTACATGGTGGAATACAGCAAATGCTTCAGTTCCTTAGACAACGTTTCTGGCTTATAGGCACACCGGCGCAAGTAAAGTTTTTCATCTGGGCCTGCACTACATGTCGTAGGCATCTTCAAATTATACAACGTCAACAAATGGCTTCGCTCCCGAAAGAGCGTGTACTAGTGGTTCCACCCTTCTCTCATAGTGGCTTGGATTACTGCGGGCCATTCCATGTTCGTGTGGGAACGGATCGCGCCACCCCGACTACAAAAACTTTTGCTGCCATATTTATTTGCGGCACATATTGAGCTGGCGGAGGACTTGAGTACACAGGCATTTATAGATGTTTACGATCGTTCCATAAGTCGACGTGGTATCTGTACCACCGTCAAATGCAATAAAGGCTTGGTTGGCATCACATGCTCAACAGCATCTGGCAGCTGAAGGTACATGTTGGAAGTTCATAACACTTTCCGCCACTCATCACGGTAGTCTATGGGAGGCAGCACTTCGTTCAGCTAAAAAGCATCTGCTGAGGGCCACAGGCAGTCAGACGATGCGTTACACTGAATTGTCTACTCTCCTGACTCGCATCGAGGCGTGTTTAAATTCAAGACCACTGATAGCTCTCTACGAGGATCCAGAAGGAGGTGTAGCTCTAACACCGGGTGACTTTCTGATCGGACGAACACTCAATTGTCGTCCAGATCCTCCATTGCTTGAAGCCAGCCACCGGTGCAGAAGTTATGCCGCCTAACAGGTCCTACGGAAGAATTACTGAACCGCGAGGGTTCAGCCGGGCAGGATGTTCCATATTTAAGTTCTGTAGAATGCAGTCTTGCGTATAATTAGTAAGGACACAAACCAATACCAGTCAGCTGATTGCTCAATGATCCATATGATTGGAGTACACAAGCCTTTAGCCGTGTATTCGAAGACTAGTAGTTTCGCTCTAACTTAATGAATTTAAATATGTAAACTATAGACATACATATAAGTATGTGCATACGTATCATGTGGTGTGATGCTACAATCCGTTAAATGTATATTTATGGAGGTTTTGAGTAAAGAAGCGGTCTATTTCGTGATAGACGGTTATACGATCCAGATGTGCTATTTTTAATTGACGGAATTCAATACAATTTTTGTACAAAATATATAATCGCTAAGATCACGTGCAAGGGAGATGAAGGAAAACTCTTAAGCTTTCTACATATGTCCGATCTTATCTAAAGCTAGGATTAGATATCTAGGAACTTCGCAGTTCAAGGGACTGAATGAAGTATCAGAATTACATATACAATTTTTATTAATCTTATTAAAAATCGTTGACGTCCTGCACGAAGTAAACTTTAACTCGGATTAATACAGCTCCTTCTGGCATTACACCGGACCAGTAGGTCAATGATGGCTTAACAGCCTGCCTTAACTTATTTAGGAGCACAAAGCACAATGATGTACCGCTACTAGAAAAATACAGTTACTAAAGTTTATTAAGATAACTCAAATATTGGCCAATATAAAGGTGTGTAGTTAGCTGGAAGTTCTAAGCTCTGTATAATAGCTATTTGGGTACATTCAGACATACTATCGTCAGAAAATCATCATCCACGAATTTCAAATATGTACGTACTATATCTCACATACACATTGACCGATGTTTTCGGACTTAAAAAGGCATACCTTAACAGCACTATGTTGCAAAATTTTATTCTGATATAAAGAAGCCGATTCCACCTATTTTTACATTTTCACTAAAAATATTTCCTGTATCAAATTTGGTGCTGCAAGATTAATGCAAGATTTTAATTTGTCGTCATTTCAATTAATCTCTGTACAGTGACGAAGTTAAAACACTGTTTAAAGTCTCGTCATCACTTATGCATTCATAATTCTGTTTATATACATTTAGTGTCATTGAAAATCGGACAGCAAGTAAAATTTCAAGTTTTCTTGCGCAAAATTATATGTTGTATCTTTGTTATTATAGTTAATAGAGTTAAGACCAAAATGCAATCGGAATTATTTTTTAAGTTTTTCCCAGTCTTTTGTCAAACGAGCACTATTGCTCAA